TTCGAGCCTTTCGCCCCAAGAGGCCTCCAGGAGGCCCCAAGAGGCCCCCAACAGAGCCCAAGAGGCCCCCTAGAGGCCCCACGAGGCCCCAAAGGGGCCCAAAAAGACGCCCCGCGAGCACCCCAAACGGCCCCAACGAGGCCTCCAGCACTTCCTTCAAGAGGCCCCCGGAAAGCCTCCCACGGATTCTAAACGAATTTCCAAAAGGCTTCTAACCCACAACCCAGGCACGGTGGTGGGATGGGCCAAAGGCCGCTAGCGGGAACGTGAACCGAGAACGCGAGATCTTCGCCCCAGGAGACCCCCAGGAGGGGTCAAGAGGTCCCCAAGAAGCTTGGCGACAGATCACTGGTCGACAGGTCGAAGAGAGCGGAGGAGGAGGAACGAGGAAGAGGCAGTAGGAAACAGATAATGTTGATCTCATTATTCATGACCGCCTTGCTGTCTCCATGCGGTCAGCACTCGACCAGGTAGAACCTAAGCGCGAACGAAGCGCGCGCGATGGTTTTGGTTTACATCTGTATATACACATATATGTATGGATGTATATATTCACATGTGTATGAATTATCCCGGCAAAGCAACCTAACAGCGATGTGTAGAAGCATATCTGAAAGCATTCCCCTTAAGATTCAGATGAAAATCCAGTTGTCGAATTCTGCTGTTCTCGCAGTCGTAGTCGCATTCGCGATGACAGTCGCAGCGGCAACGGCAGTCGCAGTCACAGCCTCAGCCTCAGCCTGCCTCCTCCTCCTCCTCTTTCTCCTGCTCCTCCTCCTCCTCCTCCTCTTCCTCCTGCTCGTCCTCGTTCTCGTCCTCCTCGTCTTGCTCGTCCTCCTCCTCCTGGTGCTCTCCCCTCCTCCTCCTCCTCCTCCTCCTCCTCCTCCTCCTCCTCCTCCTCCTCCTCCTCCTCCTCCTCCTCCTGGTGGTCCTCGTTCTCCTCCTCCTGGTTCTCTCCCCCCCCCTCCTCCTCCCGTCCCTCCTCCTCCTCCTTCCTCTCTCATCCTCGTCCTCCTCCTCCTCTTCCCTCTCCTCCTCCTCCTCCTCCCCTCCTCCTCCTCCGGTAGTCCTCCCCCCGCCCCATCCTCCTCCTTCACCTCCTCTTCCTGTCGTCCTCGTTTCTCAGTCTCTCCACGTCTTGCTCGTCCTCCTCCTCGTGTGTCCTCATCCTCCTCCTCCTCCTCCTCCTCCTCCTCCCCGCCTCCTCCCTCCTTCCCCTCATCCTCCTGTGGTCCTCCTTTCTCCTCCTCCTGTACTACTCTCTCTCCCCCCCCCCCCTCCTCCCCCTCCTCCTCCTCCTCCTCCTCCTCCTCCTCCTCCTCCTCCTCCTCCTCCTCCTCCTCCTCCTCCTGGTACTCCTCCCCCTCCCCTCCTCCTCCTCCTCCTCCTCTTCCTGGTCGTCCTCCTCCTCCTGGTCGTCCTCCTCCTCCTGCTCGTCCTCCTCCTCCTCCTGCTCGACCTTCTTCTCCTGCTCCTCCTGCTCCTCGTCCTGCTCCTGCTCGTCCTCGTCCTCCTGGTCTTGCTCGTCCTCCTCCTCGTCGTGCTCTTGCCCCTGCTGAAAATGTGGCCCAGGAATGGGAGTTCTGGAAGTCGAAGAGCACGAAGTTGCCTACAGTTGGCTACGGGCATCCAAAATGTGGCCCGGGAATGGAGTTTTGGGAACTCGAAGAGCACGAAGTGGCCTACAGTTGGCTCCGGGCATTCAAAATGTGGCCCGGGAATGGAGTTCTGGGGAATCGAAGAGCACGAAGTGGCCTACAGTTGGCTCCGGGCATTCAAAATGTGGCCCGGGAATGGATTCTGGGGAAATAGAAGAGCACGAAGTGTGAACTGTTTTGCATCCCCTCCCGCCCTCCAGAATGTGGCCCGGAATGGAGTTTCTGGGAACTCGAAGGAACAGTGTGACTGTGCATCCGGTATTAAATGACGACGGGGACAACTCCTTGGATCTTCGAAGGCACAAGTTGTGTGACTGTTCATCGGTTATTCAGAATACCGTGGAATGAGTTCTGGGAAAGTCAAACACAAGTGTGTGACTGTTGTGAAAAACCATGTGGGCACAGCCCCCCGCAACGCCCAACCCTGCCCGACCCCCCTGTGGACCCGATTTTGCGAGCTCTTGCCCCTACTAGAAAACTACAGTCTACGCTGTTTAGGTAAATATATTCTACATATTATGTATGCATGCATGCATCAACTCATGCATGCCTATATGTATGTATTTAGCATGCGATACACTACACGGAGGACGTATGTACGTATATGTTGTGGCCTTCGGCCCATCCCGCCACCATGCCCGGGTTGTCGTTCAAAGGCCCTTTGGATGCCCGTGAGGATCCAGTGGGAGACCTCTCGCGGAAGCCTCTTGGAGTGGTTTCGGCACAGTTTTGGACGTGTTTGGGGCCTCTTGGGAGTTGGGAGGCTGACTTGGGCCTCTCGAGGGCCCTTGGTGGCATCTGGTGGCCTCTGGGGGCACCTCGGGGACCTCTGGGGGGATCTAGGGGCCATCTGGGGGCGCAGAATCCAAAATGTCAGTTCGTGTTCCCCCCTTTTGAGCCCCTCTTGGGCGCCTTTTGGGCCGTCTTGGACGCTCTGAGAACCAAGAGCGCGGCAACGCTAAGACCTGCAACACCAATTAGTTTTGACGATTTTCGCTTCTCGGATCGCCTTCCAGGCTTCCAAGACGGCCCAGGGGGCGCCCAAGAGGGCTCCAGGACGGTCCTCGGGATCATCTTAGGCCATGTTGGACATGCGTGTCCCGAACAACACATCTGGCCTGTGAAATGGTCACGCGGGGAGTTGCGGGTAATGCCCAAGAGCGCCTGGGAGCGCCTGGAGTTCAGGTTGTGGGCCCCGTTGCAGCAGATTTGTAGCACGCAATACAAAGGGCTCGCGCCTCAGGGCACGTTTGCGCAAGGATGCGTGTGTGTATACATATATATATATATATATATATATATATATGTGTGTGTGTGTGTGTGTGTTTGTGTGTATGTGTGTATGTATGTCTGTCTGTCTGTCTGTCTGTCTGTCTGGCTGGCTGGCTGGCTGGCTGGCTGGCTGTATGTCTGTCTGTCTGTCTGTCTGTATGTATGTATGTATGTATGTATGTATGTATGTATGTATGTATGTATGTAGGTATATATGTATGTATGAATGTATGAATGTATGTATGCATGCATGCATGCATGCATCCATGCATCCATGCATGTATGTATGTATGTATGTATGTATGTATGTATGTATGTATGTATGTATGTGTGTATGTTTGTTTGTTTGTTTGTTTGTTTGTTTGTTTGTTTGTTTGTTTGTTTGTTTGTTTGTTTGTTTGTGTGTGTGTTTGTTTGTTTGTCTGTCTGTCTGTCTGTTTGTTTGTATATCTATCCATATATATATATATATATATATATTATGGCCGGGGAACCCGGAAAAAGCGCCCCTTTCCACCTAAAGAATTTCGGACTCCCCGGGCTGCTTGAAGCCCCCCCCCGGGCTGCTCGGACGCCCTTGCAAAGGGTTTCTTCGGCCTTCCGGCCTTCTCGGAAGGTCCAAAGAGGCCTCCAATATTGCCCAAGACAGCTCGTCGACAGTTCCAAAGCACACCAAAACCTTCAACATGGCTTCCAAACGCCCCAAGAGGCCTCCAAGAGGCTTCCCAAGAGGGCCCGAAGAGGCAAAGTTCATTGATTGTTGAATGGTTTTTGAAGGCTTTTTCGGTTTTCGCTTTTCCAGTACAAGAACGGCCCAAGACGGCCCAAGAGACTCCAAAGATCGTCCCAACACGGCCCCAGAGGCCCCCCAAAGGGCTCGAAAACGGCCCAAGAGGGCCCCTAGACGGCCCAAGAGGGCCCGAAAATTAATCTTGGGAGCCTCCTGGGGCCTCTTAGTGACCTATTGGGCCATGTCGGTCGCCTCTTGGCCTTTCTCAGGGTATTGTTGGAACTGTCTGTGGGCCATCTTGCGGCCCTCTGAAAGCTGCAATTGGCCGTCATAGGGGGTCTCTCTGGCAAGTCGGGGTCCTCCTGGGCCCTCTTGGAGACATCTCGGGATGAAATGCCTGGTAGTAACAACGCATCAACGACCGATCAGGTTTTGTAATTTTTCTGGCCGGGTGAGGCCTCTCTTCGGCCTCTTCGGGACTGTCGGAGCATTTTAAGCTGCTCTCTTGGCCTCCCAGGTCCTCATGGCTGCCCCTTGCGGCCCTGTAGGGCCTTCTCGGGGGCATCCTGGGCGCCTCTTGGCGGCACTTTGTTTCGCTGTAGATGCCGCGGGGACGCGGATCCAGCGTATGGTGGGCACCCCTAAGCGATTCACGCCTGGATTTTTGAAGCAATGGCTTTTGCATTCCCGAGGGAATGCTAATAGGTCACATTGTTTCTGATGCCCGTCGGGCCTCAAGATGCGTCCAATCTGGCCCAAGAGGGCTCCCGACGTCCACCGAGATGGCCCAGGAGGGTGTCAGGAAGCGGCCATTTGATTGATGGATTTGGCTAACGATGCCGATCCTGTCGTGGCACCCTTCACTCGCAATGCTCTCGATCATTTGCTTCCTGGCCCTACGCATGGGTGGTGCAGAGCATTCCACGGTCTTCCATCTTCAAGTCGAATTCTGCCCATACGGTAGGTTCGTGTCGTGTCGACCGGTGGCGACCCAGCCAGCGGCGTTCAACGTTGAACGCCGCGGGCGACCCAGAATCGTTCGATGTTTGGACGTTTCGGAAACGGCCGATCGTTCAAGGTTGAACGATCCCCGCGGTGCCACACAAACCAACGCCGAAGTCGGCACGACACGGACCTGCCGTAGTCTTATTGGAGAGGCCTGATCGAAGGGGCTAGGAGTGGGGGGAGGAAGCGGAGGAGGAGGAGGAGTAGGAGGAGGAGGAGCAGGAGGAGGAGGAGGAGGAGGAGGCACGACACGAACCTGCCGCAGTCTTACTTCCAGGCGTCTCTGTACACTTCGCACTGCAGCCCTCCTGTGGCTCAAGCTGTCCCGGGGTTCCAGCCCGCCGTCGAAGGGGGCCAACGTGCCCGCCACACGGACGGGCGCTGCATTTCACGCTGGCGATGGGCTTCCTCTGAGGGGCCTGTTGTCCACCACCACCACCACCACAAGTTGGAGGGGGGAGGGTGGAGGAGGAGGGGGAGGAGGAGGAGGAGGAGGAGGAGAGGAGGAGGGAGGGGAGGATGGAGGAGGAGGGGGGTGGAGGAGGAGAGGAAGGAGGAGGAGAGGAGGAGGAGGGAAGGAGGAGAGGAGGAGGAGCGGGGGAGGAGGGAAGAGGAGGAGGGGGAGGAGGGAGGAGGAGGAGGAGGAGGAGAGGGGAGGGGAGGATGGGGGAGGAGAGGAGAGAGGAGGAGAGAGGAGGAGGAGAGAGTAGGAGGAGGCAGGAGAGAAGGCGGAGAGGAGAGAGGAGGAGGGGGGGAGGGGAGGAGGAGGAGAGGAGGAGGCGGAGATGCGGAGGAGGAGCGGAGAGGAGAAGTTTAGCGCAAGGCGTTGTACTGTCATAGCGCGGGAGGAGAGCGTATTCTTCTCGGTATAGCTTCATGCTTCTTCTCTGCGTCTTTTGTCTTATGGCGGCTAACTTATCTTCTTCTCGTCTTGGAGTTGAAGGCTGAGAGCTGAGCCGAGAGGGCATGCGGCGGCTCTGCCGTCTTCTGTCTATGAGCTATGCGGACGAGGAAGGGATTCTTTCTCTGTCTTCTTCCTCATTCGTGCGGCTTCGCTCTGCTTAATGACTGAGTCTGGTCTATGAGGCGTCTCGTATGAGAGCTTAGTAGAGCTGAGCATTCGTCGAGCCGGTCGTCTTATCTATGCGGTCTAGTCGCGTCTCTTCTTCCTTCGCTTCGCGCAGTTTATTAGCGGCTCTAGTGAGATGGGAGTCATATTCATAGTCTTTTCTTCTGCTTCTCTCGTCGAGTGGATTATCTCGGGGAGGAAGAAAAAGAGGGGGAGGAGGACATCCTCCCCCCTCCAACTCATGGGTGGTGGTGGTGGAAAGCAGGCCCCTCATCCTCTGCGGCCTCTCCAGTGTCCGCGCCAGCCGCGGCAGGACGGGCTGCTCGAAGGCGACCGTGTCCGCGGATCCATGCAGCGACTCCTCGTTCCCGCCGGCCGGGCGGGAGCTCGCCAAGAGGACGGCGCGCTCCATCTCAAGCAGTGGCGAAGCGTCCTGGCTCGCCGATTGGCCTACCAAACACAATGTTCAAAGAACCTTTTTTGTGGTTTCAACGGAATTGTCTTAGAACATGCCTGGCTGGGACTGTCTTGTTTTTTATCACATCGGGTTGATGGTCTAAGAACATGGATGTTGTTCTTACGACATCTTGGGGTTCTAAGAACATTTCGTGGTAGGCCTATAGAAATGCCGGGACGGTCGGTCCCTGCTCAAGGACGGCGCGCTCCATCTCCTCCGACGTGATGGTCGAGTACGTGGGCAGCATGTTGGGCCGCAGCCCGGAGGAAGCAGTGTTCCAGGCGGGGGAGCCCGTCTCCAGGAGCAACGCCGCGCCCGAGCTGCTCGTCGTCAGGGGCCCAGGCTGGAGGTGGGGGGACGAGGACTCGGAGGAGGGAAGGTACACGTTGTTCATCTCTAATTCTTCGAAAGGTCTTTGGTTTTTGGGGGGCCAAGATCCGTTCGTTTCAAATTGTTCTATCCTGGGCCTCTTCCTGGCCACTAGGGGGCCAGGAACGATTAGAAACGAGCACAATCAGAAATGAGGAAGGTTAGAAATGAATCGACTTGTACCGATACTGCTACCCTTGCCCCGTTTCCGCCTCTTGGGGCCTCTTGGGGTGCACTCGTCGCCACAGCTGGATTCGACTCGAAGCTCTGGCCAGAGCGCACCACGGGATGGGTCTGGGGAGCAGCGGTATCGGTATCGGTATCGATCGGTTGTCCCAAGGATGGAGGGGCAGGGAAGCCCGGCCGGATCCTGTCGGTCGCGAAGGCTCGACGGAGAAAAACATCATTTACATACATTTTTGGAGCTCTGCGCGGATTTCTGGGATCGGCGCTGGACCCCCCTCGCGAAGCCTCTGGCGCCGCCCCTGTCGCAGTGCACGCGCCAGTGGTGGCAATCCAAGAAATCCGCGCGGAGCGCTGGAAGTCTATGTTAATGCCGTGTTTCTTTCCTCTAAAGACGACGGTCACAGTGCATTGGCAGGCGACCGGTGTCGTGGAGAGCCACTACCGTTGTGGCACCGGAGCTGCAGTGTTCGGGAATGACCGGGGCGACTTGTGCCTCGCCAAGGGCTTCGAGGGCCCCAGCCGCTCCAAGATCATGGCTGCCTTCAAGGGGTTCACCTCCTCGGCGCGGAACTCGCAGACGACATTCGCCGACAGGGAGCAGACGGTGATCATCCTGGACTGGGACGATACGCTGTTCCCCTCCACCTTTGTCAGGAGCGACATGCGTATGACTTTGGGCCTGCCGCTGCGGCACCAGAAGCTCTCCGAGCCGGTCAAGAGACAGGTGGCCCGCAGTCTCGCGGAGTGTGCGGCCAAGGCCGACAAGCTTCTGCGGCTGTGCGCCTCGTATGGGAATCTGGTGATCGTCACGCTGGCCCGGGCCAACTGGGTCACCGACTGCTGCGGATGCTTCTACCCAGGCATTGGCGAGCTCCTGAGGCAGCTGAACGTGAAGATAGTCTACGCTCAGGATCGGGATCAGAGGAGGTGTCTTGTCGGCGATCTGCGGCCAATTCCCTTCGGGTGATGCCTGGAATGCTCGAGTACTGGCTTGACTCATTGTTGCCTTGGGACAGCCAGTCCACGGCTGATACTCGAAAAACGTGTTTCGCGTTATATTTTCTCTGCTATGTCCACCTGTGTTTCGAATGAACATCAGGGTGCAGCGCAGATACAAGGCAACTAGGAATATCATTGGATCGGGAAACGTCGCTCACGTCAGTTTGCAGTCTCGTGGGCGCCGAGCTCTGTCTACTCGTCAAGCTATACCCGAAAAGCATGCATCGCGCCGCAACTCTTCTGCTGCGTCGAGCTGATTTTCGACAAAATCCAAGGATTTTAAGAACTGATGAGCTGTGAGACATACCATTGGATAGAGCATCATCGAAATCATCAGTCTGCAAACTCCAGGGCGTCGAGACCGGCCTACTGCTCGAACTATGTTATTGCTCGAACTATGTTCGAACATTTGGTCTCGTGCTGGAACTATTGTGCTGCGTCGAAATAGCTTTCGACTGAATCCCGGGATTCCGAGCAGGTATAGGTCTAGTAGGCATATCACTAGGTCTCGCATGAGCGAACGCATCCGTCTGCAACCCTGAAAGCCCTGGCCTCGGCCTACGATCCAAAATGTATTCGAACAGCCCCATACTAGGAGTTGTAAGCTTGGTACCAGGCTGCCTGCGGCAAACACCGCCGCCGTGCCTGTGAAACAGCGCAGCAGGACGGAGGCCGAGTGTAGGAACAGTGCAATTATCACGAGTAGTCTGAATCGGGAAGGGTCGTGGACTCGACCTCGTTTTCGTCCGAGTGGTAAGCAGAAGTTCGACTTCACGCCCCGCGGCAGTCAAGCGAACGGTCTCAACTGGGAAGTGTCGCGATTTCGACCTCGTCTTCGTCCGCGCGATGGGGAGGAGGAGGAGGAGGAGGAAGAGGAGGAAGAGGAGGAGGAGGAGGAGGAGGAGGAGGAGTGGGAGGAGGAGGAGGGGCGGATGTTAGAATATAGCGGGACGATTGGGTGACAAGGGTGCACTCAAGTAGTGGTCAGGCGGATGTCGTTACCGACGCCTTTTGGCTCAACTGGCCAATTCGCTCATTGCCGCGTAACAGACAGCACCAATCCGTTCGCATGAAGATCCCCCGCGGGATTTTGCATGGTAGCGGAGCGAGGTCGATGGCGGCAACGGCAGCAGCAACAGCAGCTCCCACATATCCAAGAGACCCGCTTCCTGAGTTGAACACACCCCAAGGTTCACGGTTTATCGTTTGCGCCTAGTTTACATTCAGGATCGGGATCAGAGGAAAGAGGAAGTGTGTGGTCAGCGTTGTGGTCGGCCGATTCCTTTCAGGTGATGCTTGGTAGGACCGAGTGTTGACCTGACTCATTGTGGCCCTGAGGTGGCCATTCCACGGCATATTGGTCAGGTCAGTGTTTGGGCGACTTCAGTGGCACTCGAGGAATTCCATCGCAGTCCAGCGTTGACCTGTCTGTGTTTCTTTTTCCTCCAGGAGGGTGTAACCATCGACCAGAAAAAGGTCCAGGCCATGAACGTGCAGCAGTGCGAGATGTTCTGGGGCGCGATCAAGGGCAGGGCCATCAGCGACGAGATCAAGAGCTTCTATTCCCAGTACGAGGGCCAGAGCTGGAAGAACATAATCTCCATCGGCGACTCGAACTTCGAGAAGATCGGCACGATGACCGCCGCGGCAGACTACATGCGAGAGAATGGCATCGAGGTCCCAGCCGACCTGGCGCACGTGGACGCCGCCGGCTCCAGCGTCGTCGCTTTCCAGGCGAGCACGGCGGCGACCGTGGTCGTTAAGGGCCACACCTTCCACGTCAGGACGAAGGTGGCGAAGATGCTGGACGAGCCCACGGTGGACGAGCTGCAGGTCGGCCTCGAGCTCATGCGCCAGTGGCTGCCGATGATGGTGAGGCACGACGGCGGGTTCAGCCTGAACCTTGCTGGCCTCGGCACCGGTGAGGACGCCCAGGATCGAGGACCCACGAACCACATCATCAACATACCCAGAGATCCGATGCCTCGATATTTGCAGCGCGGGGTCCCAAGAATCTCGACCTTAGGCCGGGTTTTCATCCTGGGTCGTCTTCTGACGGTCCCGTGGACAGGCGAGGGCCTCCAGAGGCCCGAACCAACGAACAACTTCCGTGTTTCTTCCCCACGAAGCAGCGCAACAACGAACAAAAGCACGAAGCAACGAGGGGCCGAAGACAACGAAGCAGCGACAGAGCAACGAGGCAGCGCAAGTCGAAACACAACGAGGCAACGCAGCACCCCCGTCTTATCTTCAGAACGTTGGACCTCTGGGTCCTGGCATCGCTCGGACGTGTGCATTCTTTTCTCGGCGAGGGCCATCGAGGAGCATCCTCGATGGTTTGGCGACAAATCCACGCACGAAACCAAAAAAAAAACACAGGAAATGGACGTCCGAGCGATGGCCAGGGGTGCACATTGGCTCGGCGCGCCGCGGGCGAGGGGGGGGGGGCGCCCCGGGCCGGTCCAAGCAGCCCGCGCGGGGCTCCGAGGAGGTGCAGGCCCCGAGAGGCCCTGGCGCCTCCTTCCAGGGAGCCTTCCCCCCCCCCTCCTCCTCCTCCTCCTCCCCCTCCTCCCCCTCCTCCTCCTCCTCCCCCCTCCTCCTCCCCTCCTCCTCCTCCCCCTCCTCCTCCTCCTCCTCCTCCTCCTCCTCCTCCTCCTCCTCCTCCTCCTCCTCACCCCTCCGCCTCCTCCTCCGCCTCCTCCTCCGCCTCCTCCGCCTCCTCCGCCTCCTCCTCCTCCTCCTCCTCCTCCTCCTCTGCCACATTTGCGGGCAAGATTCATGTCCGTATCGAGTGCCTCTTGGACTTTTTTGGAAGCGGCGCCACGAGGCCGAGGCGCACTGGATATGGATAAACATCGAACCTCTCCAGGGGGCAAATTTATCCATATCCAGTGCGCCCCGAGTTTCTTCGGAAGGGAGCCCGAAACTTCATACTGCAGTGGATATGGACAGAAGTATTGCCCGCAACATTGTTGTCATGGCGCCAGCATCGCAGAGCGGATTTCGCTCGGCAAACAATGGGATGGGCCAGGGTTGTCCTGGAGAGTTTCGCTTCGGATTTCGAAGTGAGTGTCGTGCGGATTGATGTTGGCCAGGAATGAAGACCAACAAAAATCCACGCGACATTCACTTCGTTGTTCGCTCGCCGCTTCGGGCAACAATCCACGCAGAAATCCACGCAGAAATCCCCTGCAGCACGCCTGCAAGGCCGGTGCAATGAACCTTGCGCGCGCCGCCAACTTGGTGCCCCAGGAGGTCGGATATGCCGGCCACGCGCAGAGGGGGGCGGGGGGAGTGGGGAGGCTCCTCAGGAGGAGGTTGCTTCTTGGAAGGCGTGGGCCTGGTCTGTGGATGCAGGCCGGGCGGCTTCTAAGGAGCAGCATCCTTCCAAGAAGCTTTTCCCATCCCCCTGCCCCCTTGTGCGCGCTGACAATCTTGTGCCCAAAGAGTTCGGAGGTGGCCAGGTTCCTTCAGGGGGGAAATAACACACAGACGCAATGAATCGTCGACTGCCAGAAAAGATAGGAAAATATGGGAAGTGGGGGGGAAGGAGCACGTCTACAAGATATGGGAAAAGATTGGGCATCCTTGGGATTTGTGTGTATTTGCTTGTGTGTCCCGGGGCCCCTTCGCTCCTGGGCGCTGCGCCTGCGGACCCCTCCCTCTCCTCCTCCCCCTCCCCCCGAGATCCTGGCGCGGCAGCTTTGTCACCACCGGGGTGCTCGGTCGTCCGGGCGTCCCCCCCTCCCCCGTTCCCTCTCTGCTCGCCGGCCGATTCGCTAGTTTCGGGGGTGGAAAAGAGGGGGGTGATGACTAGGGGGGGGCGGTGGCCATGATATCTCCCCAGATTTCATGGCGCCTCTTCTTGTTTCATTACGTCCCTGGCCCCCCCGCTGGGCCGCGCACATGCCGCCGGCCATGATTTGCACCCCCCCCTCTTGGACACCCCCCTCTTGGCCGCTCCCGATAGTTGGTGCCCCGATCTAGCTTCTCGCTGGAGCGGAGTTCGCCGCCCCGCCGCTGACGAGAAAGGTGTCCGGTCGTTTTCGGGCCCCGGGGTCCTCACATACCGGCACGGCTCGAACCATGAGGCAGAAATGTGGGGTTTGGAGGTATGGTGGTGATTCTTGCGATGTTGTAGCTGGTCTGTAAGGTCAGATCTGAGGGTCTTTGTGGTATCTTAGGTTCGCTGTCGTGTCGACCAGCGGCGGCCCCGCCGCTGGCGCTCAACGTTGAACGCCGTCGGCGATCCAGAATCGGTCGGTGTTTGAACGATCTGCCGTTTGGGGAAACGGCCGATCGTTCAAGGTTGAGCGATCTCTGCAGTTTGAGAAGCCAACGCCGAAGCCGAAACGACACGAACCTGCAGTATGCCTTTCTGCTGCTTTGTTTCCCTCTCTACGCGGAGCTCCGAGAAAGTTTGTGGTTTTATGATGATTGACCGGGGAAGCGTAAGACTCGAGTAAGCTGGAGCGCGGGTCTGCCGACGCCTTGTTGACGAGCGCGCCCTGGATTCTGGCGGCCAAGTTCTCGTGGGATGTCTGCCGCGGGAGCTCGCGCCGACTTTCACACTGGGTCTTGTCATTTTTATGATGGCCCGGTCAGGCCAGCCCGAGTCCCCTGCACCCGAGTCTTACTCAGGAGGGAAAGAGACACACAGACACAATTGATCGGCGATTCCCCTAGAAAATATGGGAAAATGTGGGCAGTGGGGGGAAGACAGAAACCCAGAAAATATTGGAAAAGATGGGGAATTGTTTTCATTTGTGTGCATTGATGTATGTGTCCCAGGGCCCCTCCACTTACGTCTCCCCGAATTGATGGTCCATCCTCCGGCAGGAGATCGAGAGGCAGCTGCGAGAGGGGCAGCGCTGCGTGGCCAGGCCTCGAGGGAGCGCACACACCTGGGGCCATGACCGAAGGATTGCAAAAAAAAACCCTGGATTGCAAAAAAAACGAAGGATTGCAAAAACAAAACGAAGGATTGCAAAAAAAACCCTGGATTGCAATCCTTCGTTTTTTTGCAATCTTTTGCAATCCTTTTTTTTTGCAATGCCGCGCGAGCTTGTCGACGTCCGTCGTGATCGTGGTCCACGCGGGCCGTCGTCGACCCGCGAGGGGGATCCACGCATGGACGCCGACCAGGATGGACGATTCACCACCCACCAAACCACCCCAACCCAACCCGAAGGCTCAGATTTACCCTCGATTTCCAGTTGGGGGGGGTCGGGAAACATCGAAAAAACACGTGTGGAACCCTTACTCCCCCCAACCCGAAATTCGGGTCTTCGGGTTGGGTTGGGGTGGTCTGGTAGGTAGTCAACGATGGTCCTCATTTTCGAAGCGGCCAGGGGGTCAGCTGGATGGGGCCGAGACAATCGGTCGAGGGAGGGGACCCGGGCAAATCCGCTCAAACCTGGTCCTTTGGATTATGATTGTCCAACCTACTTTAGCCTCGATCACCAGCAATAATTTCGAGAATAATTTCGAACGCCACGAAAGTACAAATTATTCACTGCGTGGGGATCCCCATATGTGCATCTCCTTGCTGGCGCTCCCTTGGTGGTGGGACTCGGTGAGGACGAATCTGGATTTAAGTGTGACTGAGCTGCCTCTCTCTCTCTCCCTCTGCTCTCTCTGTCTCTCTCTCTCTCTCTCTGCCCTCTCTCTGTCTCTGCCTCTCTTTCCCTGCCTCTCTCTCTCTCTCTGCCTCTCTCTCTGCCTCTCTCTCTCTGCCTCTCTCTCTCTCTCTGCCTCTCTTTCTGTGCCTCTCTCTCTCTGCCTCTATCTCTGCCTCTCTCTCTCTCTCTCTCTCTCTCTCTCTCTCTCTTCTCTCTATTCTCTCTCTGCTCTCTCCTCTCTCTCTCACTCTCCCTCTCTCTCTCTCTCGCTCTCTCTCTTCTCTTCTCTTCTCTTCTCTTCTCTTCTCTTCTCTTCTCTTCTCTTCTCTTCTCTCTCTCTCTCTCTTCTCTTCTCTCTCTTCTCTATCTCTCTCTCTCTCTCTTTCTCTCTCTATCCCTCTCTCTCTCTCTTCTCTCTCTCTCTCTCTTCGCTCTCTCGCTCTCTCTTGCTCTCTCTCGCTCTCTGTCGCTCTCTCTCGCTCTCTCTCTCTCTCTCTCTCTCTCGCTCTCACTCGCTCTCTCTCGCTCTCTCTCGCTCTCCCTCGCTCTCTCCCGCTCTCTCTCTCTCTCTCTCTCTCTGCTCTCTCTCTCTCTCTCTCTCGCTCTCGCTCTCTTTCTATCTCTCTCTCTCTCCTATCGTCTCTCTTCTCTTCTCTCGCTCTCTTCTCTCTCTCTCTCTCTTCTCTCTCTCTCTCTCTCTCTCTCCCCCCCCTCTCTCTCCACTTTCTCTCTCTCTCTCTCTCTCCTCTCTCTCTCTCTCTCTCTCTTCTATCTCTATCTCTCTCTCTCTTCTCTCTTCTCTCTTCTCTCTCTCTCTCTCTCTCTCTCTTCTCTCTTCTCTCTTTCTCTCGCCTGTCTCCTCTCTCAACTCCCCCTCTCTCTCTCCGCTCTCTCTCTCTCTCTCTCCTCTCCCTCTCTCTCGCTTCCTCTCTCTCTCTCTCTCTCTCTTTCTTTCTCTCTCTCTCTCTCTCTCTCTCTCTCTCTCTCTCTCTCTCTCTCTCTCTCTCTCTCTCTCTCTCTCTCTCTCTCTCTCTTCCTCGCTCTCTCTCTCTCTCTCTCTCTCCTCTCTGCTCTCTTCGCTACTGGCTTCTGACGGAGTCTGGGTTAGGTGAGCCTGAGTGTGGGTGAGTCTGAGTATGGGTACGTCTGTGTGTGCCTGACTCTGAAGAAATGAATCTGAGTGTGAGTGAGCTTGTGTATGAGTGAGTCTGGGTGCGAGTCTGAATCCCAATGGTGCCCCTGGCAGTGTCTGGCGACTAGGAGGCCCGGGTCGACTCCTCTTTGGGAAGCCAAAATGCTGCCCCTGGCAGCGTTTGGTGACTATGAAGCCCCTGGTGGACCCCCCCTGGGGCTCCCAAATGATGCCCCTGGCAGCGTTTTGTGACCATGAGGCTCTCAAGAGATACATGTTGGGGACGCCAAACGGCAATTCTAGCTGAGGCGTCCCACCAAAATCGGCGCGAACGGGCTCGTGAGATCAGCCAGGGTGGCTCCCCCTTGGGGCTCCCAAATGATGCCCCTGGCAGCGTTTTGCGACCATGAGGCTCTCAAGAGAGACATGTTGGGGAGGCCAAACGGCAATTCTAGCTGAGGCGTCCCACCAAAATCGGCGCGAACGGGCTCGTGAGATCAGCCAGGGTGGCTCCCCCTTGGGGCTCCCAAATGATGCCCCTGGCAGCGTTTTGCGACCATGAGGCTCTCAAGAGATACATGTTGGGGAGGCCAAACGGCAATTCTAGCTGAGGCGTCCCACCAAAATCGGCGCGAACGGGCTCGTGAGATCAGCCAGGGTGGCTCCCCCTTGGGGCTCCCAAGTGATGCCCCTGGCAGCGTTTTGTGACCATGAGGCTCTCAAGAGATACATGTTGGGGGCGCCAAACGGCAATTCTAGCTGAGGCGTCCCACCAAAATCGGCGCGAACGGGCTCGTGAGATCAGCCAGGGTGGCTCCCCCTTGGGGCTCCCAAGTGATGCCCCTGGCAGCGTTTTGCGACCATGAGGCTCTCAAGAGATACATGTTGGGGAGCCAAGCGGCAATTCTAGCTGAGACGTCCCACCAAAATCGGCGCGAACGGGCTCGTGAGATCAGCCAGGGTGGCTCCCCCTTGGGGCTCCCAAATGATGCCCCTGGCAGCGTTTTGTGACCATGAGGCTCTCAAGAGATACATGTTGGGGGCGCCAAACGGCAATTCTAGCTGAGACGTCCCACCAAAATCGGCGCGAACGGGCTCGTGAGATCAGCCAGGGTGGCTCCCCCTTGGGGCTCCCAAATGATGCCCCTGGCAGCGTTTTGTGATCATGAGAGAGTGTGAGTGTGAGCGAATGTGACTGTGAGTGAGTCTGAGTGAGAGCGAGTCTCATCTTATCTTATCGAGTCCTATATTGTCTTACCTTTATTACCTTCTATATTATCTTATCCTGAAATCTCTTATCTTGTTTTAGCTTATCTTATATCAACTCATCTTATCGCATCATATATTGTCTTATATTATTACTCCATAGGCTGTCTTATCTTATCTATTATCCTACCTTGTCATATATATTATATTACCTTATCATATCTTGTGATATCTTATCTTATCTTGTAGTATCTTATCTTGTCTTGTCTTATCTGGTGATTATCATTGGGAGGAGGGAGGCGCGAGCGGGAGGAAGGAGTCCGCGCGTGGGAGGCGTCAGAGTAATAACAAGAACCCCAATCCTTAGGATATGGGGAAAAATGTAGGGTCTACGCGTGTCGGGCCCTGGGACACACTCGTCCGACACTGTTTCGACACTCTTTCGACACGTCTGTGGATGCTCGAAATTATTCCTGGGATGTGGTCCTTAAGTACGATGGGAGCAAGAAACCCTTGGATCCCTCCCAGGGTCGAAATTGACATCGGCAGCACCCCATCATACTAATACTATGTTTGCGTCGCCCCCCCAGGGGCGACGCGCGCACCGAGAAATCCTGTAGTACATGCGTCGTGGCGGGTGTTTTCTGGCCACACCGCCCGGGAAACGATATACCACAAGATTGGTATACCAGATGTTCGGGTCGGACGCGCGCTTCCAAGGAGGACATATAGTACTAGTATGTCGATGCGCGTCCCATGACAAGTTTGTTTTCAGCCGCGTCCAGCCGTGGTGACGAGGAGGGCCCCTTCCTCCCCCCTTGGAGCTGGCCAGAGCCAGGGCCAAACACCCGGCACCTCGACTCTCTCGAGACGCGGGCCCTCGATTTCTTGACCATTCCCCTTCTCTTCCTTCTCCTCTTCCTCCTCCTCTTCCTCCTCCTCCTCCTCCTCCTCCTCCTCATTCAAGCCAATTGGGCTCGCGCATTTTGCCAGAGCCCGATCCTTGTACCCTCCTCAGCGAGTCCAGCCACACTCGCGGGGCTAACGAAACCAGGGACGTCAGCAGCAGGTGCAGTGCCTCCATCAAGCGGCAACAGCCGCGGGCGGTCGACAGCTCGGCCTCGCCCGTGGAGCAGATGTGCGCATTGCAAGACATGTGAATACAATGACAGGTTGGCTGCGACGGGGGCCAAGTGCCCAAGTTGCAGCAAGAAGATTCGCCTCTTTGTCCCTCGGTCTCCCGGCGTCACTTTCGATAAGAATGTTGAGGTCGAGGAGATCGTGGTGCAAGACGAGGGCGACGACACAAGCGGGTGGAGCACCCAGCGGCGTCGCGGTGCAGCGGGGGAGCGGCCAAGGTGAGGCAGGCTGCGGAGTTGCAGGCATTGCTCAAGAAGGCCGCGGAGGTGTCCAACGACGAGGTGCTGAGGTCGGCCTTGGCATCGCAGGAGGAGCGGTTGCAGCTCATGGCGCAGCAGGAGGAGACGGTGTCAGAGGCGGAGACGGTGCGCAAAGCTGACGGAGCTTGGCGCGCGGCGTCCCACCGCCACGAGCAGACGGTCACGCAGGCCCTCCTCCTGAGGAGCTAGCTGCACTTTGGCAGAGACCAAGGAACAGAAGGCGGCGGAGGACCTGGCGTTGGCCGAGATCCACAAGAAGCGAGCTGCGGAGGCTTTGGCTAAGGCCGAAGGGGTGCGGGCCACACAGGCGGCCAGCGCCGCTGATGGCCAGACGCCCGCTTTCGAGCTCCGCATCAAGTCAGCCATTTTCGACCAGTTCGAGGGTTGGGATTGCGAGGAAAACGACAAGATCCAGCTCAGGGAGTTGGAGAAAGAGTTGGATTCGTATCGTTCGGCCTTCGAGTCCAATGACGCTCAGGTTCGTGCTTTCCTCGGCAAAGCCGATAAGTTCGAGAAGGAGGTGA